CCGGCGGCCACGCGCCCTGCTCTGGGCCCCGCGGCACCTGGGGCCCCTCTGCCGGAAGCCCGGGCCAAAGCGAGCCCACTCCCAGCGCCTTCCCGTGGCTCTAGGGACACTTCCTTTCAATAAAGGCAGGCTCTGGCTCCAACAATTATTCTGACAGCAAAACTCTTCTTTCTCATTGAAGCCATGCCATCGCCTTGATTTGGAGAGAGACATTGCCCCCCCCATTCATTAGCTTTATTTTCCCCATTTTTATGTGAAGCCCCCCTGCTTTTCAGCTGGTGACTGCTCTGGTGAGACTGAATGGACTTGCTGGTGAAATGACATCTCTTTGTTCCTGTCTCGGTCCTACCTAAATTCCTACAAAAATATTTAAGTCAAGGACTCAGGCTAGTTCCTAAGTTTATAATAGTAATTTGTCACTCCTAGGGGGGAAAAAAGGGGACATTTCCTTTAAAGCATGTGTAGTACCTCCTGTGACAACTGATTGGCCAGAGAACTCCCGAGAGAATTCTGTGGCTGTACATTTTACTTATGTGTACGTATGGTATGTGGGGTATGTCTGTCATGTAGCACATACTGCACTGGGTATGAATGAGTGTGGGTGGAAACCCACGCACGCTCCAGTCTGTAAATATCCTTCCTCACTGAAAACTGTGCTTTGGAAATCATGTCTTGTACAGCTGTGCAGTTTCTTGTAGCAGCTGAGGACAAGCCGGTGGACGATTCAGACAAAGCTCATCTAAAGGAGAGAATTCAGAATCTCCCTAGCAACTCATGAGGACAGACAACCAAATGGCAAGGCTGACTCCCAACGGGATGGCAAACTTTTCTTCTCTCCTTTTTGAATTTGTGTTTCCTAAGTATGTCTTAACTTCTGAGTGCACCAGGCTGTACCCGTTCGAGCCTTTCAATGCGACAGTTTTGTGCTTCTCTCTGACAGGGTGTTGCTCCGTGGAGCTGTAGTGCAGGATGGGAGGGAGGGAGGGAAGGAGGGGAAATACTCCTTGCCCAAGCTGGGGTTTACGGAGACACTGCACAGCTTACACTCCTGTTAAGTGTAAATATTCGACACTTCCATTCCATTTGTGTAAAAAATAAAGCACACACGATTATAAAATCAAGATGTATATTTCATACTCAGTGTGTCCTTGCATTTTTGTTGCGTTTTCAGCTCTCAGCGGTGGCCCCGTTGTAAAAATGCTTGATAGAGAGGTTATAAACATGTCACGGCTTTATTATAAGATATAAATATTAAAACAGTTTACACTTTATAGCAAATTCTTTTCTCCCAACGCATAATTTCTCTTATTTCATGAAGAATAGAATCGTTCATTTCTATCTTTATCCAATTT